ACTTGAACTGTGAGTTCATTCACACTTTTCTCTCTTTTTTTGCGATCTAATGCTCTTTTTAAGGCATGAATAAGTAGTTTAATATAAATGGTATAAGCATCTCAGTCGACACATTCCTTGGTTAACAAACAAGAAAAACGTCGTGGATGTTTGGATGTTATGCACATAGGGTGTTTCAAAATTAATGCATTTTTATTGGTAAACACAAGAGAAAGAAGGAGAACTATGTTTCACTTTATTTTGACAATTTATTTCTCTTACTGTTTGATAGATATTGAATTTTTTCACATATTTCCTAGGGTTATTTGAAACTACGTAGTAAAAGTAGAACGGAGTCCCTGTTTGATGTAGTTTAGGCACGTCAATAACCCCAAAACAGCAGAATTATCCGTGCTGTGTAGAGAGTCAATGAGAGTACAACACCAACTTTTTTATTTGATACGACTTCATTGTTGGAGCTACCTTTTACTCGATCCAAAGAAAATGATACAGCTGATCGTTTTTTCACTGTATTTCTTGGTAAATTGGTAAGTTCTACCACGTATTAATCAAGGTCATTCATTGAAAAGTATTCGTTGATACAACATTAATTTATGTCAGGAAAATGTATCAATGCGACCCTTCAAATAATACACATTTCATGTATTAGCACGACTTTACATAAGCAACATCTAGTGTTTCCGCGTTTCTTAAGTAAGGTATATTTTGTTTGTTTGTTTTGAATTTCGCGCATAGCTACACGAGGACTATCTGCGCTAGCCGTACCTAATTTAGCAGTGTAAGACTAGAGGGAAGGCAGCTAGTCATCACCACCCACCGCCATCTCTTGGGCTACTCTTTTACCAACGAATAGTGGGATTGACCGTCACATTATAACGCCCCCACGGTTGAAAGGGCGATCATGTTTGGTTTGACGGGGATTCGAACCCACGACCCTCAGATTGCGAGTCGAGCGCCCTAACCACCTGGCCATGCCGGGCCCAGAAACGTAAGAAAAATATATTTAATTAGCAATTCTGATTGTCAGGTTGATTTTTAGTTTCGCTCTAAGTACATAGCGTGCTCTGAGCGGAGGTTAATATTAATAACACCATTATTACACATTATACAATACCACCAGTTGGCAGAACTACAAAATACCACAAGCGTGATATGCTAGAAACTGCCTAAGCGAGGAATCAAACAAAAATGTAAAAATTCACAATGTCAACTCAATTCCTGCTTTTTACATAACTAGGCAAACAGACTTCTAAACAGATCGTTAACTTATTTCCAGAAAAAAAACTTATGTAAAAATGAATTACTGCGCACACTGGATCGCTATATCATACTTGGTGGAAATGAGCCTAAGTATCTCTCACCACTAAATATGTATTATAAGTATAGCAATCAGTCAGCTACTGCTAGACTTACTTAATATATCATTTATGTTATGTATATATTATGTATTAAAAATGGTTATTTATATAAATACATATAAGATATGCTACAGGATGAATTAGCATTGGATTACATGCGACTGTTTGTAATATGTAAGACTTTAACATAACAAAGTATATACCAGTGGAAATTATGAACGTTAAACATAAATGAACATGGCCCTGATAGGGGTATTGTAATCATAACAGTGGCTTTAAATAATAACAACACCCTCATTCATGTGATGTTCAACATTTATCAGTGCAACAAAACACCAGTGCAGGAGGGAGGAAGAGGTGGAATTTCAAACCTCACTCTCCCAGATCCCGATATAGTAGCTTGCAATGTCCACTCTGCGTAAGGGCGAGCGTCAAGGCTAGTGCCACTCTTCATTAGATTTGCCCTTTCTTTGTTTTGTTTTTCCAGAATTTTCGCGCAAAGCTACACAAAGGATTATCTACGTAGCCGTTTCTAACTTGGAATTAACAGACTAGACGGAAGACAGCTAGTCAACTTTTGTCTACTCTTATTGGACCGATTAACGGAATTTGACCGTCATGCTCCCACGGTTCCAAATTGCGGGTACATTTTTTATGGCAACAGGACACGAGCCATGAACATCTGGATTCACAGTCCGAGATCGCTAGCCACTAGGCAACACCTAACTCAGCTATATATTTCAATTGCGTCTAGTTCTAAGTTTTAGAAGTATTTCTTTTGAAAAATTTACACTTATCATATACCAACAGCTCCTTAATGTGGAACTATTTTCTTGTTTTGAGAACGAATGAATGGATTCATACTAAAACCAATATGGTCAATATGAAAGATGTGTTTAGATAGGGAATTCAGAATTTCCAAGACGAGGATACTCTTGTACTTTGCTTGTTTGTTTCGTTGTTAAGCACAAAGCTAAACAATGGGCTATCTGTTCTGTGCCCACCACAAATATCGAAACCTGATTTTTAACGTTATATGCCCTCAGACTTATTGCTAAGCCACCAGGGGCACCCCTAATACTTAATGTCATTGTAAAATAACAGAATATTCATCAACTTGGGACACCAGGACCATCCATAAAGAGATCTGCAACAAGTGGCACCTCAGCCATGGTAAATAAAATACGATGTCTTGCAACAGGTTAAAAGCCACGAACACAAAGGACAATGTTAAAACCCGACCATGTGTCCCAGGCATTAGTACGCAGCATAATTAATAAGAATCTCCATCTGGAAAAGTGACACATCCACAAAAAAAAGAAAAAAGAAATACTGTAGAAAACTCTATGAACAATTTCTAGCAGGAGAAAAATGGCAGCAAGTGGTGAAATTCGAAGAAGCGTACGTGTACCTTGATAACTATAACAAGTCTCATGCATTTTCTTCTCATCAATGAGCAAAAAAAAATTCTAGTATTGGTACAGGGCATGTCGTCAAACTTTATCGGAGGGATTCATGATCACCTCTGAATACTGCACCAGGGGCAAGTTAGGGATAAAGAGAATCAATAAAAAAGTCGAGGTGAATTCTTAATGGTATATTTAAGTGTTTTACACTCACAAAAAATAAACCTATCATTCTATAGGTATTTGAAGAACTTGTAACATTCCGCCAGAATTTAATTCTTCGTATTATTAGTTGACACTGGGCAGCTTGCACATAATTCAATAAATAGAGTTGTTTAAACATTTGTTTAACAACAAGTAAATGCTTGGAATGGTCTATTCTTTAAACAACTCTATTTATTGAATTATGTGCAAGCTGCCCAGTGTCAACTAATAATACGAAGAATTAAATTCTGGCGGAATGTTACAAGTTCTTC